ACTTTTTCAATTTTTTATGTAATCTGGTGTTATAAATAAAGGTGGATAGGGTTCCTTGATTAGCCGGAATAAGCAGAGGTTTAAACCCCATCTGCTTTTCAAGCATATTTTTTTAAACTATGTATGTGCCAAATTGCTTGAGAGTCTATGAGTGTGTGGTTACCTACTAAGTATGAATAACACACATAGATTCAAACAAATTTTTATATTAATCTCGCTGATTATTGTTGGGTTTCTTGTTTATCTTACATATGTCAAAATAATCCCCCCTCTTTATTTTCCTCGCTTAAGCATCGACCTCAGTAACTCCCACACGTAGAAGTTAGTGATTTTACTCAATATTTGACCAGTTCTTTAGGCTGAATGTCGTAATAAGCTAAAACGTAAAATTACCCGATATAATGGAATATGTGGACCTCTGTTATAGTAAAATGTAACATGTTAATGTTAGATTCTTACAGAAAATACTGAGTGGAAATAAAATAAAAATTCAAGCCTTCCAAAAATTACCATTAAGGACAAATAACAACTCTGATATAGGAGGTTCGGCCCTCGAATCTGAGCAGGATAAAAAAAAAGTTGGTAATTTGAAATTTCCAGCATCGATCGCCAAAAAGCTTAAGACAACGTGTTCCTACGTTTTAAATTAGATGTTTATTAACCTATGTCGTAGGTCTTAAACAAGTACTAGGATTGGAACGTGGGATAAGACCTATTTTTCTACTAAGGGGGTGTAGCATTCGGCATTGGCCCAATTATAAGGCGGTATCAAATATAAGGCTACCCCCATATTCAGAAACCATGGGAAAGAAAAGAAATTGAGTGTCATAACGTCCTTTTTTAGGTCCGCAAAATCAATACTATAACTGAACAGCCTTCAGGTAGATTAGTTGCAAGAATTAGTGATAACCTTGAGGAAAAATCCGACGCGCATGCGTCCAGGGATACTATCTGTACATTCAGGAATGCGACAGTCTAGAGTAGGGGAAGGGGCCGGTGGTCGGATGCGTTTATAAGGCGACTATGAATCTTACAGCCTAATCATAAATAAAAAACATCGCCTTATAATCGAGCCAATATGGTATAAGGTCGTGTAAATTGGGCATATTTCCACGTTAATTTCAGTAACGTCTTTTCCCTGATTTTCATCATATCTTGACCTCTAAATGTATCAAATAGATCAACATTTCCACTCTAGATGTGAAAATGTGGGGGGGGGGGACATACTCCCTAATCCATATAGTTTCCACCTGCCTTCGGCGGGTACACTTCCGACGAGCTCGATTCGTCTCTTGTTCAAGTAACACGATGGTATGAATAATGTTTCCACCACTACTGTGTATGTCGTATCCAGCCGACCTGAAGAGTCCTAGTATTGGACAAAAGGCCTCACCGGCGCTGAATATGGCAGATAGTTGTGTGTGACATATTGTTATACATTGTTATTAAAAATTTCAATCCTCTACCCTAACGTACACATTTTTCTTTATACGTCTATATGTGCGTATTAAAACTCTTTTAAACATATAGCAAATAATATGTTCTAAAGGCTCAACTTCTAATGGAAGAGTTATTAAATTTTACTGTCATTCGAGTTTTTGTTTTAAAACCATCCACGTGATAAATAATAATTACTTAATGTCTCTTCAACACGTTTTTAAAGTTATTCTTATAGCAGAATCTTGTGTATTTCAGTTATTTGTACGCAAATTTTTCAATGTAAAAGCAACTATGATAATCTCACAAGTGATAAGGATCAACTTTAGTTATTAATGTAACAATTCTTGAAAACTACAACTACTCCGCAAACAGTTCGAAAATGATAAAACTCAACCAATTGATAACGAACACACAATCTTCAGTACTAACACAGTTTACTTCCAACATGAAGATCAAGATACAAGGTAGTGTGTCATACGGCCTTTTGGCAGGACACACTGTGTGTTATTAACAGGAGTGAGTTTTGTGTAAAGTTAAGCACAAAACTATACAATGGGCTATTTGTGATCTGCCGAGCACGGGTATCGAAACCCGGTTTTTAGCGTTGTAAGTCCGCAGGCATACCTCTGTGCCACTGGGGGGGGGGGGCATTAATAGGAGTGATATTTTAGCGATATTCCACTCTCGGACTGTGGTAATCCAAACTATCACATATTTTCAGGAAATGTGATTTACTAGATTCTTACTTCACATACCAAATTTCAAGGCAATTCGTTAAGAAATATACAAGATATAAAATCTTCAATTTTGATTGATTTTTTTCTTTTTTTAAAGAAGATTTATTTGATAGAAAAACATATTTACCTTTTACGGTTTTTTTTTTCTCAAATTCAGTACACTGATAAATATATACAATCTACAGTTAGGCGTCAAATTTGGTCCAAATATAAGCTACATGTGCAAAGTTATTCATGAACACCGCTCAAATTTGGACAAATTTTTTGCGCACGCTTACTCAAAAAATCACGTGAGCTATTGATCTGAAATGTTTACTATAGCTTCACCTAAGAGTAAAAGTGGATCGTTTTTAGTTTTTGTCATTCGGATTAAAGACGGCTGATTTAGAGCAGCAAAACTATAGGGTGAAAGGACGTGCAGATACATAAGTATTGGTTAGGCCAAGCAAACTAGATTATCAGTTTCTAGCTCAAGTTTTCAAAAGAATCATACGGGTGGGCGGTTATTATTCATTGCCGACTTTTCAGAACATATTTGCTAAATTTTATGAAATTCTCCTAATTAAAGAGCGTTTAGCGTTACGCGATATTAGCTTAAGCAATTAGCGTAAATAATGATGTTTGATACGACTGTACCGGGTGCATGCGGGTGATGACAATAAACTGTCAATATAGATTCCATGGCGTTACTATAAAAGAAGTTATTATCACTTATAGAAGGTATTATTAGAGAGGCAAATCTACCACTATATATGTTATAAAGAATCTGGTTGGTTCTGTAAAGTATAGGTCTGTTCCGAATAACAGGGTTGCGATCCTAAAGCTAATGTTGGTTACTATCCAGTGTTACTTTCTTACGTTTATTGGTAAGTATTGACAAAAAGATATGACATCTAATAAAAAATTTCTTAGGTGTGAAAAAAAGAGGTGCGGCCAAAAAGGATTGAATGTGCGACTTAAAGGAATTAAGTAAAATTGACAGCGAAACTGGTAGCTACACTTATAGCATTGATAATAATTTTACAGCCCATACTCATTCATTAGTTAGCTAGGTCGCATATTTTGTTTTATAAACCATCATGCACCAAATTGAACAAAAAACGCTACCTTGCTAACTAATGAAGGAATATTTGCTGTAAAATTATTTTTTCTATCAAATAAAATTTCCGTATTTTTTTTCTATCAAAATTTGAGATTTTATATCTCGTGTATTACTCAATAGACTGCCTTGAAATTTAGTATGTGAAGTAAGGATCCAGTATAACACGTCCATTAAAAATATGTGATAGTTTGAATTACCACAGTCCGAGCTACTAAAAGTAGAATATCCCTGAACTATCACTCCTGTTAATAATATACAGTGTGTCCTGCAGGTTGTTTTGGCGGCACGACACACTATCTTGTGTCTTGATCAATGTTATAAGTCTAGCTACCAGTTTGGCCGCCAATTTTCATTTCATTCTTTTAAGTTGCATGCTCAATCATTTTTTGGCCACACCTTTTCTTTCACACCTACGTGTTTTTGATTAGATAAGTACTACCAACAGCAAGAATGCTTATCATCAATATTCAGTAACCTTTCTGTGTGTTTCTTTTCCATTCAGACTGGAGAACATTTCTTGTTCACTTACAAATTTTAAAAGTTTTCACATATGCGCCATATTGGTTTCACTATACAAGTCGGTTCTGGATTATGGCTAGTTTGCGGTTGCCCTGGTTACTTATTGTTATTGATCATTCTCATTTGATGCCACTTAAATTTTCTGTGGAAGTGACTGCTGTAGAATTGTACACATTAGTACACTACGTATCTTCTGTATCACTTCAGTTATGTGACGGGCTTTGTGGCACCTGGAAACGATCGATAATATTCCTATTTTATGCTGCTGGAATGAGAGAGATGACGCTATCGCTATGCTCTTTCAATCTGGTTCATAATGAACAACACAAGAGAGAAAGAAAGATAAAAGAAGCCTTATATATCACGTAACTGATGACACACTCAGTTAACCCATTACAGAAATCAGCGAAACTTCTATAGTTATTTCATCGAAGTTTCGATGAGTGTGAGAACCCAAGAGAACCAATAGCACTTCAGCTTTGTAGCAAGAAAACCAAGGATTGGATCCCAGCCCTTACCACCACAAACTGCTTTTCTCAGGACTTCCCTGAAGCAGGTAGCAAATGAACAGCAGGAAAATAGAATATATGTTAATTAGTAATTAGTATCCAGACATAAAGAAATTTGTAACTCATTAATAATTATCATTAGGTAAGCGTAAAGGTTACTAACCATGACAATGATTGATATCCAATCGCTACAACCTTACGTAAGTATTAAAATGCTCAATTTATAGTTTTAACTATTGTAGTAAAACTTTTGGCCTGGTCTAGCATGAAAAGAGACGATATAACTGCATTAACAAAGTATCAACAAGGAATTCATCATAACTAAATTTGATAGATAAGAAATGTTTATTCTGTAAATCAATGGCAGCATATAGAAGTGAATAGATTGTATTTTTTAACATTTCCGAAAAACAAAAAGACGAATCAATGTGAGCCCTTGACACAAAAATAATGACTCTAACTTAAACTACGTACAGAAACAAATAGTACAAATTTATCTAGCCTGACAGATTACTGTGCTTTTTCTAAAATGAGAAATATAAAATTTTACTTTGATGACACGTGACAAATCACCCAAGATTTCGTTATAAAACAAAAGCCTCGCTATAACTATTGCATCGTTCATGTATAACAAAACGAAAACAAGAACCAAAATATATACATTTGAACGACTATACTAAAATTAGAACATCCTTTGTGCTAGGAACTGCTGCACTTAAAAGTCAGCTCAACAACACGTTGCTGCTAAACCTTTCAGGATACCACGCGGAAACACATAACCATACAGTTCTATGTGTACCTCTACATATAGATACGTCAGTTCGTGGTTGGTTTTTGAGCGAGAATTAAGCAAAACAAGACTGTTAAATTAGGTTATTTGTCTGAGTAAGGTTAAAATGTTTGTGATAAAGCAGTGAAAGATTGTTCCAGTATAAAACAGCGTTTCCTTCTCTAACGAGTTGAATAACAGTGCATAAAGGCCTACAGCTACGCTCGAAGGGGACTTTGCGTGGACTGTTCGCTTATGTTTCATCCTACATTATTATCCAGTTTTGTGAGTAGATTGTGTACCCTATAATGATCCCACTGAAACATATTTCTACTAATGAAAGTGCAGGGGAAGGAGATGAAGAAGAACAGCCTAAGGTAAGGCATACAGATTAATCGTGCAAGCATTACTGATAAGAAAGTTCGAAGCAAAGAATGAAAATAATAGTTTTTAACTAAGTCATAAAATATATTTAAAATATTTTACAAAGTCGTAAAAATTATAGCAGAACGTTTCATGAAAAGAAATGCACACGTTACTTTACATGGATTATATTTATATATATACTTTTTTTTTTCTTATACTGTCAATCAAACAAATCATTGATTTAAAAACACGAAGAGTACATGAAGCATAGTTTATCCATGAGTTACTCTAATTCATTCTGCCGTTTTTATTTTATTGTCAATGAATTATTTTTGATTATTATCTTCTTCAAATTTACTATTTTTCATATGAACAAAATAAAGCTCGAGACACATTTGGTATGTCCAACTTGTATGGAAACTTATATTCGACACATAGATTTAATGACCAGATCAGAGACCTCAAGAGCTAGGCATAGTCATTTCTAATTAAGAAATGCTGACCATTTGGTCCAGCAGCACTACATTTTATCGAAATAGTGGGATTGATATTCACAATATAACATTCTTACGTCGGAATGTTTGTAGGCCCGACATGGCTAGGTGGATAGGGCGCTCAACTCGCAATCTGAGTGTCGCGGGTTCGAATCCCCGTCACACCAAATAGGCTCGCCCTTTCAGCCGTGGGGGCGTTATAATGTGATGGTCATTCTTACTATTCGTTGATAAAAGAGTAGCCCAAGAGTTGGCGGTGGGTGATGATGACTAGGTGCCTTCCTTCGAGTCTTACACTACTAAATTAGGGACGGCTAGCGCAGATAGCCCTCGTGTAGCTTTGCGCGAAATTCAAAACAAACTGAATGTAATTAAGCGCAAAACTATACAATGGGCTATATGTAATCTGCCCATTACGGGTATTTTTATTGTTATACACCATCAGCTGAGCCACTAGCCCTACCGAGACTTGGTCAGGGGTCAAAGGCCATGTAGACTAACATTCAAAATTTTATTGAACTACTATTTTATGAATATATGTCAATAAGTTTTTCTGACAAGGAAAAGTATAATATAAGAATTTCCTATCTTTTCTATTTTTTCCTGAGATATTATTATGTTTATTGAATCAACCAAGGTATACCTACTTCGCCCAATGTGTGTATAAGCAATCAAAAGTTCAGAATGTCCCCCTCGTGGTTTTCTGAGCATCTGCAAAGTATTTATGCTGGAAACCCTTTCTTTTCATGGTAGATTTCAAGTGATAAGACATTATTGAGCTTGAAAAATTATATTTTTACATCCAAATACAGCTTAGTTAATAGCCTGATAAATTATAGTGGAATTCTGTGGTATTGATATAATAAATTATGATTTTATTGTTATTTCAAAATTTCTATATAAAACCTAAAAAATATTTTGGTTTGCATCATCCACGTACGAAAGTTGATAAGGCTTAACAAATTACGGCAAGCAGCAAACGAGTACATATTTCGTAACTAGAATAAATAATTGTTTTCTATACCTCTTTATTTACTGTTCTATGCTTTAAGAAAAATAACTAAAATTTAAGAACTTATTTGTAAATGGTAATTACGTATATACATATATAATGTATTATAACAGAAATATAATTGTATTTTAGAAAATACTGGTCCACTAGAGTAGAACACAGCCACGACAGGTCACTTTGTAAAGGCCAGTTTTATATTATTGGATACGGTAACATGACTGCACGTGCGCGGTGTGATTCAACTTCTGAATTGCTGAAAGGTCAATAATATAAAAATAATAAATTTTTATATACGTATAATGTTATAAGATTTAAGCTATTTAGACTAAACATTTGTGGTTTTATGTTATAATTTGTAGTAATTCTAGAACTAAAAAAGCGTAATTTATATCTATTTCCTTTTTTTTTATGGTGGTTACGAGGTCGGTCAAATCGACCAAACCCATACAGAGAAACAGTAGTGAAAAATAAGAGATAAATTGTAAAGTTTTGTTCTAAAAAAACATTTGATAATTATCTGGAGGTTATAGAGATTTCGCATGTGAAATTGGACAATTTTCTTATGCATAAAAGTGTTTTTAATCTTAAAATAAAAATTACTCCACATGTTGAATAGTCAACATTCGAAAATAAAAAAATGCACGAGCAAATATTTAATCAACAACGACAATTTCAGTTTACTAAATAAAATTTCTAAATAGAATTATTTAGAAAAACTGTACTATTAGATGTGGATGAGCAATGTTGCAATTTTTTTGTGAAAATGATGACTTTTACTTTTTAGCACCAATTAATGTATGTAGCTTCTTGGATCAGTTATGTAGTTATTTGATTAAACATAAGGGACAGTAATGAAATTCGAAACTGAGTTGATAATGGGGTAGAAACATAACTTCTTCAGATGAATTATTTGCAATCGTTAAGATCTATGGTCTGAATCACTTATTAATTAAGAAACAAATACGTTTTGTACATGTATAAAATTATGTGTATGGATATCTTAAATACGCCATATATAATTAGTTTACCTTATATATGTGCACAGAATTTGTTTTGGTTATTATTTGACTGTATTAAATAAAAAGTGGTGATAATCATGCTTTGCTAGCTTGAAAAAGTGATAAGTTTATGTTAATCACATAAAACTCTAAAATTTAATTAATGGGAGTAAGTTTATTGCTACTTTTTTTTTGGACTTGGTGGGAAATCCCACTTTTCATTTGTTTAACATAAATAATTTTTAATCAAGCGATCTTAGATTTCATTATAATGTTTACTTTTCTAGTATAGTTTAGTTTTAACAGTAGAATGTTGACTATGGAGTGTGACTAGATTACTTTCAACCTAGGTATATTTTGTTTCGAGCCATTCCCTTTTAGTGTTACACGCGGTTTATTTTTCCTTTGGTACGTCAAGAAATACCTAAAGAACAAGTCTTCCATACTTGTTATAAGAATGACCAACAGGAACGTGTGTTGTACACGTGTACTGAGAGCATCGCGACAAGTGTTTGCTCATAAGACAAACAGCTTTCTGAAGTAGCATATTTTCAAAAGCCAGTGAACCTCTGCCTCACTTTGATAGCATTTGTTATAAATATTGATTATTATTTGCGTTGTGGTTTTCCTCTTTCTTGCTTCAAACTCGTTTAGAGTCAGGAAAATTAATTTAATAATAATTAATAAAATTAATTTAACTCTTTTATACGCTTTCTGACATTCCTCAACCTATTGCAGCTTCTAAACTTATCTTCAATGTTATCTGCAGCTATTACGAGAGTTGATTGCAAATTTTAAAAGATAAGTTTTATCTATCACTTTCAAATTCTCCCCGGTGGCTCAACAGTAAGTCAGTAGACTTATAGCGCTAAAATTCGAGTTTCGAGGTCCGTGGTGGGCAGAGAACAAGCAGCCCATTTTGTAGCTTTGTGCCTAAGAACTACCAACCACTCCCAAATAATCCAGTTGTGACGATAGAGTGTTTTGATCCTTTTATTTTTATCATTTTTACTGGCCTTTAAAGCAAAATGTATATCTAAGGGGAGGGGTGAAAGTAAGTTAGTTTAAAAGTGCATCTGCTGAAGTCAAACGGAAACTAGGAGGTTCAAGGGCATGCTTCTAAGGAAGTGTTTTCTATTAGAGTAGTAGTAGCTTGGTTCTATTTTGATCTAGTGGGTCCAAGATATGGAAAAAAATTAATAAACAAACCATTGAAAATAAACAGTTTGAAAACCACATTACCCGACATTGTTTTTATATTTTACTTAATCTTTTTTTATTTCATCTTTCAAATTCTTTATCTCCAACTACCAAATTAATTTTAAAATCTTTGTGTATAGCAAGTTATTCATTTGTACCATATTTATGAGGAAGAACTTGGTGAGTGCTTGTCCCCCCCCCCCTTGAACCTTTTGTTTCAATGACTATGTTTTTGTTTGTTTGTTTTTTTCAACACAGAGCAACTGCCTTCCCATAACTGGCTGAAGATGATTAACGTTAGCGTTAGATACGAACTGACCTAATTGATTAATTGCTTATAATATTCGTGAAAAGGTACTTAAGGGCTATCTATGCTAGCGATCCCTAATTTTGAACTGATGGGCTACAAGGAAGACAGCTAGCAAGTAGCACCCGTCATTAACTCTAATCAAACAATGGGGGTTTGACCATCACTCTTATAAATGCGTTCATGGTCACAAAATGAGGAGTGTAGTTTCTGTTCCTTTCTTTCTTTCCCCCCCCCCCCTTTTGTAGTAACGGGATGTGAACCGTGGACCATCGGATGCAAGCCCTGCACAGTAGCCAATAATAAGTCACGCCCCATCATAGATGTTAGCCATTGTGGACTTTCAAATATTGTTTTACTCCGATTTACACTGTGTCCAATCTGTTTCTTAATAAACTCGGTAAAGAATTTTTTTTTATTGAATCTTCTGTTATTGTGTGGATCCTACACGACTACTCGAAAGGAAATCAGTGAACCTAAAAATACCATAGAGTAGGTATAAAGGAGAAATTCTGGTGCTGTGACCAAAGGATTTGTTATTGTGAAGTTTCTCTATAAGTACATTTTCTTGTCTCTTGTATTAGTAAGTTTAAAATGGCTTTATTCTTGAGAAAATGGTATTTTCCACGAGTCGAAAAATTTAGTCACTGAAAGTAGATGGTCGTCAGAAAGAGAGAGTAGGCGGGTTTCCGAGAAGTTATCTCATGGACATCGAACTCTTGCCAATGCTGAAAAAGTCCATAACTTTATTCTTATCGCAGCCACAGAATTGAGATGGCATAAATATGGTGCACCCAGAACTACTGATCAAGTTATCTTTATCTTTGAGGATCAATATTAGTGCAAGGGTCATTTTATCCATGAGAGGTCTGGCAAGTCTGAGACTAAACAGGATGGTCTTAACAAAATACCCAGAATATCACCTGAGACCAGCTAAGGGTGACTAGGGGTGCCCCTGAGACAGTGGGAATTGACAGGTGAAGATGTTCATCAGTAGGAC